TATGATTATATATGAATCATATAGATTAATATTTATTATCTATTTTTTTTCTTAAATATTCTTTACAATATTAACAATAAATACTCAAAATGACTTTTAAATTTATATTTCATTACCTTTTAAATTGTTTTTTATGTATTCAGTTTTATAGATTTTCCTAAAATAATATTAACATTCATAGAATTATTTTAGACTTCACAACTTAGATGTTTTTAACGTGAGAAATTAAAAAAAATATATCTTGTCTAATTTGGCACTACTGTAACTTGCATTCTTAATAAAGTTTTATTTGTTTTAAGCAGTTTATCTATTTATTGAAATCTTTCATGTTTTATAAAAGCTTTAGATTAACTATATTTTCAAAAAAAAAAAAAAAAGCATACATTTAATCTATTAAAGAATGATAATTATATTTGGCTAATCACCTGATTAATATATCTTCAATTATTTTACAATAATTTTCTGTAAAATCAATAGTTGAATTATAGATACATGTTGTCATTCAAAAGTTTCAAACTTTTTAAATCATAAGATATATCTATAAAAATATCTTTAAATTATTCTTAAATATGATAGTTTTTCCACTAAGGAAAGTAAATAGATCAAACCATGTAGACAAATTTGTTTGTGTTGATCAAAAGCTGGAAACAAGTTTTAAAAAGTTAATTGAAAACTTATTTCACTTGTTTCAATTAACAATTTAAAACTTGTTAAAAATTGATCCAGGTTATTATGTTTCATTGTAAATTAGTTATTTATTAGTAGAGAAAAGAAAATTATTTACTATAATACTTACTACAATTTTTAATTGAAATACTATAAAAGTTATCACAGAAAATTTATACACAAAAATTCAATTTTTTTAAAAATAATTTATTATAAACTTTTTAATAATTGAAAGTTTTAATTGATTATAATTTTCTTTTGATTGCAGATTTGAATGAAATAATGATTTCAATACAATTCTGAAAGCTTTATTGCTTAAAAATGTTTGAAGGAGTAGCAGCATTTCTTTTAAATAAATATTTAGGAAAGTATATTGATGATTTGGACAGTGAACAATTAAATGTTGGAATATTTAGTGGTAAGTTATTAAATTATGTTTCAATTATAGTATTGAGATAAAAATAATTTTAAAATAATAATTCGAATGTGCTCATAATTTATGATTGAAATTTGATTTAGTCTAGGTAACCCAAGTGAATAATTATGAGAAATCATTTGGTATTCATTCAATGTTACGTTACAGCTGTTTCAAATTGTTATATAGAGTGAAATTAATTAATTTTAAATATTTAAAAAATGTTTGTTAATTTTTTAAAAAGTAAAAAAGTCATTTGTATGTTCAGATTTATTGATATATATTCAATTCACATCAGTTTTGCAAATAAAGTGACAGATTTTTAAGTGTAAAAAGTGGGACACTAGACCAAATGCTTCAACATGACATCAGATAAGTCACATGATTGATTCCAGTAGATGATTGGCACTTTTGTAGGTACTGACATTGTCGATGACAGATGTTATGCACAACCAATGAACATTTTACTTACTCATGTACTCTTGTTTACTAAATAATCTCCAGTGATAGTGAAAATGAACAGTTCTTTAAGTATAGCTTCGTTTGCTTTATTCACTTTTTTCAGATAATTAGCATAAATCATAAACTCCCTTTTATGATTGACAGCATTGCCAGAATGAAAAATAAATCATCAGTTGGACTACTGTTTCTATAAATTGGATATTATAAATTTTTATACTATAACTTGTATACAATTCATGCAATAAATATTAACTGTTTTTTAATATAATTATGAAACAGTTTAAAAGTGGGGCATTTTTCAAATAGTTTAAAATTTGGGCTTTTTTGAGACCGTTAAAATCAGGGCAGCATATTAAAAAAAAGGGACTGCCATGTCTGATTTGGGATATCTTGTCACTTTATCTACAGTACAGTATATATCTGCTATGACCAGAATTGCATTAATTAATGCAGAATGTTAAGTGTTAAGTAAGAAACCTGTGGTAGTTGGCTAAGGGGCAGAGTGAAGAATTGTTCTGAATATCTGTGAACAGTAACCTGAATCAGCAAATTGGTTATGTTTAAAACAATGGAAGAATAAAAATGATTATTTATTTATTTATTTTTTTTATTTTTTATTTATTTGAAAACTTCATACATAAAATTAATTTTTAGGAGGAGGGGTAACATTAATAACTTTGGTCAATAAATTATATTTACTCCGTATAGACTGTACTGAGTCATTGATGGAAAAAAATCCATGAATTCTATCTGCTGGATTTTTGCAAACAACATTATTAGTACAAAAAACATTATTAGGAAGTGTTGATAGATGCAAGTATTCAAAATCCTTACAGTCAAACATGTAGTGATTTAAAGTCGCATTTCCTTTCTTACAAAACGGACACATTTCCGGTGAATGTAGATAAATACACAAGTGTTTCCATGTTAAACAAAACTTATTTAGATGAATCTGTATTATCGTTTTTTTAACAATAAACGGTAGCTGCTGATAATAAATGTAAAAGCACCGGTTGTTGTCTAATATTTCTGGGTACCATAAATGGTACTTAGCCTTAAGAATCCTGTCCCCTTCTTCTCTCAAGAAAAGATTATCAAACTCTTGTAAAATTGTATTTGCATAATATTTCAAAACATCTGGAGAGGAATCTATCAAGGAGAGTGAGATACCTATTCTATTAAATAGATTCTCCAGTTTAGTAAATATCTTTCGAACTACAGGCAACAGCAATATTGGTCGAAAGTTAGTGGGCTCATCTAGTGGACGTTTTATTATGGATAACTTTTATCTTTACCTCTAACCACAATTTTGGAATTCTAGCAGTGTCATAAACCCGATTAAATAACTTGGCCAAGTAAGGAACCAAAGTATTCTTAGAGTAAACAATTAAAGACGGTGAAACATTATCCACCCCGGGAGCAGAATGAATTTGCATCTTTTGAAGTGCTGTATTCATCTCTGTATCAGAGATAGGAAGATCTAAAATAGGATCAACAACAAAAGAAGCCATCGGTAGTGACAGAATCAGGAGTAAATTCTATGTATTTAAACTAAATAACTGTTGATAATAAGTAAACCAATCAGTCAAGGAAATCTCTTTGTCTAGTATGCGCCTGACCTGACGAAATGACCTATTCGATACCAAAAGGTCTTAGAGTCTCTAATCCCAGCCAACTGTAAAGCATAATTACAAAAATATTTCCTCATTTTGGTCCTAATAAGTGAATTATATTGTCGTTTTAAATTTAAAAAGGAAGCTAAATCAGCCTGACTATTAGATCTGTGAGCGAGTGAGATTCTATTAGAGATGCAAGCGAGGAACATTGCCTTGGCAATGTTCCTTGCTCGCATCTGAATGTAACATGATCTATCAAACCAAGGGGGATGAATCCTCCTGTAAGTTTCAACACCTTCAATTAACACATTTAGTCTTCTTGCTATAGAGCATAGCTTGGATAAAATAATATCATAGAAATCATCAACAGACACAGAATCAATGTTTATATTCTGGAAACTCTGTGATACGGCATCACCAAACAATTCTACTTTAGAATTATTCCAAACATAACAAGTCTTGGTGGGACAGCCAATCAACAAAAGAAAACCTGTTTCTGGTCGACAACTGTAATTCCACTGGAAAATGGTCTGAAGATGATCCCAACATGAAGGGATTCAACCTTATGAACCAGATTCTGAGAAATGATAATAAAGTCTATAACCGAGCTACCCACTTTTGACAAAAAAGTTAGCTCACCTGGGAAATCTCCCTTAGTACGACTATTAAGGAGAATAAAATCGTGTTCAATCAACCAACGCAGAAACTGTCTCCTGGCCGTGCCGACCTTCAAATCCTTTGATCATCTGACATCAAAAATGTTGGGAGAGGCTACATTCAAATGTGAATCAATTCCTTCACCAATATGGACGTTAAAATCGCCCATTATCACAATTCCATGGTAGTACGAAGATCAAGAGTTCAAAATAGAAGAAAACAAGTCTAAACATAAGCCCTGTTGTCTCTGCGAGCCAGCATATACCACCAGCACCAGGATATTTCTAGGATCGAGAACCGAGTAAAGTGATAAGCCAATTACCATCAAATTAGGGTAAGTTTACAATAACTTGAAGTTCCCTCTAACTTCATCAAAAAAGAATAAAATACCACCATGGGGTCTACCCGGCCCCAATGGCTTTTCCACTGGAATCATAAAATACCTCCAGTTTACTGGAAGAAAGTTAGCAAGAAAATCACCATCCACTGAAACCATCCCAGTTTCAACAAGGGCTAAACAAATTAAACCTGGTCGTTTAATCATATAATCCAACAGAGAACAAACACTTGGTGCTAAACCCACAACAATTCCAAAAAAACAACGATTCCGAATAACTACTCGAACCAAACTGGTCTGGGCACAATGAAGTTGAAAGTCTTTCCAAACCGACTCTCCTGCGGGGAGGAAAATTCAAAATAAAAAAGAAACAGACACCTCTATTAAGCAATGGCCCAAAATAGAATACGTGAATCTCTTGTCATCTATATATAATACGTCATCTCACAATAAAACACGACGACCAGCTTCCCAGTATTCTTTTAAAAAAGTAACCAGGTTTTTACGGCGAACACGGGAATTAAACGACAGATCCGGTGCCAACCTAAATTTCATCGGTCTTTCCCTGCCCTCTTGTGTTTTCGTCCGAAATTTTTGCAATAAATAATTTCAATATTTCCAGGACGACAACTGGATGCTATAGAATTCCTGAGCTTTACCTCTCAAACAGGAAACACCGACAATATTATGCCCCGACAGATCAGTCACATCCAATTCCTTAGAAAATAAGTTAACAATATAATCCCACAAATCCAACTCGAGCAGAATACTATGATTAAACAACATTAAATTGCTTCTGTTTGAAGCATTAACTTGTCTATCGTAGGCAAAGGAGTATAACTCGCCAATGGTAACTCACATTAGTCCAAAGGTAACTAATGTTGCTGTTCCAGTTTATCTAGTCGCGAACATACTTTAGAAAAGTCAGTTTCCAATTTCCTTACCGAGGACAAAGTTGACTGGTTGGCCATTTCCAAATTGGCGAGCCTATCTTCGATACACTTCAACTGCATCATTACTGCATTTAAAGTCGTCTCCAAATATTGCTGTAAGGTTAACAATTCTTCTCTATCTGAGTCCTGAGGAGATTGCCTCTTAAAATAATGTTCTAACTTTGGATATTTTACACCCAGATCACTCGGTGAATGATGATGTTTAGTTTCCTTTCATTCTTTTTGGGTGTGCTTTAATGCTTCTGGAAGAGTACATGGGAACATTTCCAAAAAAATTGAACTAATGACACAGAATAACACAATTGAGCAAAAAACGTACCAACTTAGGTAGCAAATAAATAAAATATTCAGTAATCTATATATATAAAAATGAATGTGTGTGTGTGTGTGTGTCCTTCATGCATTACCACACCGTTTATCCGATTGCCGTGTTCATATAGTC